AGCCACACGACTTCTGCCACCAGAGACTGCATTCCCCAGTGACACCAACAGGCTTGGTCACAAAATCAATAGGGAGACTTAGGAGGAGGAAAAGTTAAGGGCTACTCCAAGTTGACAGCCAGCATTGTCCTTAATTAAGAAAACAGCACAGAGAAGGGCCCTTCTGATGGTACAGAAGCAATACTGGCTGCAAGAAAAATACACAGAGCAGCACATACGCAGAGAGGGGAGAGATGTCAGCAAAACCTTACGAAAAGAAAAAAAAAGAAATTGCTATCAGACACTGAGATGGGGCAAGTGAGCAGAGAAACGCTTCAAACCTACCTGGTGATCAAGTCAAGGGGCTGGACCAGCTCTTGGAGAACAGACACTCAGCATCAGGAGGCAAGATTACAGTCACAGGCTTTGCACGTAGCAGGCATGGCCGCGAATGAATCAGTACAGAAGAAGCAGAAGCAGCCACTCCCTCCAGCGTAGAAACGTTCAGAGGGCACTGGGGTGGCAAATGTATTTGTCTGCATCGAGATCACTACACACGTGGACAGCAGCGACATTTAAACAAGGCTTGGGAGACAAGGGACACACAGCAGTGCGAATGATACAAAATATTATATATTTAATAATACATAACGAGACAATCAGTGTCATTTGAAAACATGGACCAAATCATCGATGCAACAAAAAGCATCCATCCCAGCGGGCACAGAAAAGTTCTGCCGAAGATCCAGGACCAGCCCCCGCCCCCTGCAACAGACAGACTGAGCCAGCCTGTACAAGGAGAGACTAGAAATGAAGAAATCCACTCCTTGGGACAAGATATTTGTTATTCAACTTTATTTGTATGGTTGTTCTCTGGAAAGTTCTTCATCTTCAACACTAATTCTGAGAATTAGTAGCATAAGGCACATACAAAGAAGTACTTTAGTCTTATCACAAAGAGAAGTTCTATATTTTGCAATCTTTTTTTTTCAGGGTATTAGTGAGAAGGACTATTCATGCAAAGCAAAAAAAAAAAAATTAAGCAAAGGCCACAAATGTCAGGCCCGTGAAGGTATGTGTGTGCTGTCTTCACATTTGATTTCATGTTGATATGATTAAGTAAATACATGCGTGGAGATCTAATCGCATCAGATCATACAATTCCCCGGTGAACCCTGGACATCCTGACAGAGGTGTGCTAGCTTCAGGCCAAAGCATTTCATTGAATTCAGTTTGTGGGGAGACAGATGAAATGGTGCTTCGTGGTTTGGGTTTCCTAAAAAAAAGGGAAGATATTAGGGAGATGAAAATTAAAGAGAGACAGAGAATGTTTACCACAAATTTAATTATTTATCAAGAGAAGTGAAGTGAAAGTCGTTCAGTCATGTCCAACTCTTTGCAACCCCATAGACTGCAGCCTGCCAGGCTCCTCTCTGTCCATGGAATCCTGCAGGCCAGAATACTGGAGTGGGTTGCCATTTCCTTCTCCAATCAAGAGTCGAACTGCTTTTATTCTAGAAACTACTACACATCAAGGGAAAAGAAAGGAAATTAAATTTTTCTCGTGGAACACTAGCCAAGGTTTATATCCTTTCTCCATACTAACCTATCAGACATCAGAAGGAAGCTGGCATCTTCCATTACAGTTTCCCCATTGCATTTTCATGAAAAATGGAGAGACTGAATTTACAGCTTAGTCCTGGGTTTTGGGGGGAAGCAGGGGAGGAGCAAGCGGGGGTAATTGAAATGGTCCACGGCTAGACTAGAGACAGTATGAAGCAGCATCCCGTTAGGAGACAGAACTCAGTCTCAGACTATAGACTGTTTCTCCTGGGGCATCAATTTAACGTCAATTTCAAATATAAAAAATGAGAAATCTCTCGTCGTTCCAATCACAGTCATATTCTCCATAGGACCATTTTTTCAAGCAAAATGCCTGGCATATCCATGAGCTATGAGATGGTTTGTCTTTAGACACTGAATGATTTGCGCATTTCATGTTGCATTTTCAAGGACATAGGATCTCTCTGGGGGTCAGGGATGCGATTTAGGAAAGTGATTCATGCCTTGACTGCCAGGCATTTTGACCTCACAACAAACTTCTATGAACTAAATTCCAAACTATAAGTCATCGGTTGTTGTTGAGTTGCTAAGTCAAGTCCAGCTGTTTGCAACCCCATGGACTGCAGCATGCCAGGCTTCCCTGTCCTTCACCATCTCCCAAAGCTTGCTCAAACTCATGTCCATTGAGTCGGTGATGCCATCCAACCATCTCATCATCAGAGAAACAAGTAAAATGGCCTTGTCATAGGTTTTTCTTTAATCAGTCTATAGAGCCATCTGACTACTGAAGGATTCTCTCTCAGCTGTGTCATTTCATATTCAATATTTTTTATAATTATCACATTAAACTGCATAACTTTAAAAGACTTTACAAGCAGAGTGAATAGAAATGAATTTAACTGTATTTATGAGTCTTTTACTGTTGGGGGGGAAGGTTGCTATAAATATCAGCATATTTTCCTTTTCTATCAATCTTCAGATAGAATTCTAAAAGTAAACTTTTCAGTCTTCATTTTTTTCAAAACTGAGTCCCAATCCATCCCTTAGAAATGGGATTAGGGACACTAATCAGACTGACGACAGACTTCTCAATTGTAACTTTTTTCTTCTATTTAGAAGAAAATAAAAAATAAAGAAATGAGATCGCTTCCAAATTGATCATCATTTGGCCTTAACATGGAGGTCTGTGTGGTCACAAAACGAAAGAAAGCACCTGTGAAAGCATCAAATGATGGGCTAGATTTGCTTCCCTGGGGCTCAGACGGTAAAGAATCTGTCTTCAATGTGGGAAACCTGGATTTGATCCCTGGGTCAGGAAGATCCCCTGGAGAAGGGAACGGCAACCCACTCCAGTATTCTTGCCTGGAGAATCCAATGGACAGAGGAGCCTGGCGGGCTACAGTCTATGGGGTTGCAAAGAGTTGGACAATACTTGGGCCACCTGATGTGAAGAGCTGACTCATTTGAAAAGACCCTGATGCTGGGAAAGATTGAGGGCAGGAGGAGAAGGGGACAACAGAAGATGAGATGGTTGGATGGCATCACCGACTCAATGGACACGGGTTTGGGTGGACTCCGGGAGTTAGTGATGGACAGGGAGGCCTGGCGTGCTGCGGTTCATGGGGTCACAAAGAGTTGGACACGACTGAGCAACTAAACTGAACTGAACTGAGTGACTAACACTTTCACTTTCAGATTTTTTTGTAATTTGAATAAAGGAGTGATGAAACTTCCATAGTCCCAATAATACAGTGTGATGGCTGTTCCCACCAGCTCCGAGATTTCCTAAAAATACATCCATTTTTTTTTTAATATCAGCATTTTATGTATAAGTGTACGTATATTAAAGGGGAGATATATACTATTCAAATTGGTCTTTGGTGCACAGAGCAGAGACTTCTGTTAGCTGATATTTATAAGCACTGGAGTTTCTTTTTCTGTCTACAGTGGGACGCTTTTGTCTGCCCTTCACTAGACAGGCTCCAAGTGTGACTGCAGACATTAACCGAAGACTTGCTATGTGTCCAGAGCTCACTCTCTCATCCTCTGTCTCTTCCTGCTTCCCTGATATCGATGGCCACCAAATCGGTCTTACCTGCTTCAGTGGAGGCATGGTACAGACAGAAAGAGACTACATTTTTTTTTTAATGAACAAGAACTCTTAGGGTACCAGAGCAAATTGTGAGCCTCGCTGCCCTAGAAAATAAATAGTTGCCCTCAAATCTGTTTGCAAGGTCAAATCGTGTCAATAGAAACATAATGTTCACATGGGTATTTGCTAAAAGTCTGTTATGCCAGATAATTTTACAGCTCTTAATGACCTTATCATCTTTTCTGTACAGGCCACAACATTTGAGTATTTTCTCTGTGTCCTCAATATCCACTTTCAGTATCTTACTAATATAATACATTTCGGGTTACCTGCTGAAGCCACTCCAGCATTCTTGCTGTCTATGGGGTCGCACAGAGTCGGACACGACTGAAGCGACTTAGCAGCAGCAGCAGCAGCTGAAGCCGAAGCTCCAATACTTTGAGCACCTGCTGCCAAGAGCCGACTCATTGGAAAAGACCCTGATGCTGGGAAAGATTGAGGGCAGAAGGATAAGAGGACGACAGAGGATAAGATGGTTGGATGGCATCACCGACTCAATGGACATGGGTTTGGATGAACTCCGGGAGCTAGTGATGGACAGGGAGACCTGGCATGCTGCGATTCACGGGGTCGCAAAGTGTCGGACACAACTGAGCAACTGAACAACAAAAGGGTTAACTCACCGAACTGTTAAGAACCACATAATTCTTTTTGATTGTCAATAGAAGTTTAAAATTACAAGGTAGTGAGCATGCTTGTCAAAGACACCTAAAGTGACTTCACCATATTCCAAACTGTTTCTCCATGAGTGCTCTGGCTCATATTGAATAAATGTATGTTTCGATATAAATCAATGAATAGTAATATCAAGTACTTATCACTGAATCTGGCAATATTTTTTTTCATGGGCAGCCAGCTTTGTGGTTTTTTTAGGTTGCATTGATAATTTATCGCCATTGTTATGAACATCAATGGTAAAGTCCCCCACAGATATGTAAAGGAGTTCATGTGATAGACGCTGAGAACAGAATACTTCCTATGCTTTCACTTAAATAAAGAGGAAGAAGCCGCGGCAGGTACAACACAAGCTTCCTCTCCTGAAAGTCACACTTTTTACTAGAAATCATATCAGCCACAGCCTTCCTTGCCCTGGTACCCAAGAAATGGGTCCAGGAGAGTTAACCAGCCCGGCTGCTCCAGGAAGGGGCAGCCCAGGGCCTTGGGAAGACAGACAAACAGGTCGAATTGGAATCCACCTCCGTCACAAAGTGAAATGTGGTCTAGACGGCAGACAGTAATAAACAAGCCTTCAACCCCAGGACGAGGTGGCTACCTGGACAAGTGGAAAAATAGAGCGTGAAAAGGCCTAAGACTCCTCTTCCTCATCTCCTTCTCCTTCTTCTTCTCCTGGTTCCTCTTCTTCTTCAGCTTCCTCTCCCTCGGCTTCCCCTTCTGCTCCCTCTGCGGTTACTCCTTTTGACTTTAACAAAAATGACATCGTTATTGAGAAGTGTAAGGGTCAACAGATACAGTGAGGACGAGTGTAAAATATCTGACTAAAGGTCAGGGCCTCCCACACCCCATCCAACACACACACACACACACACACACACACATCATCTTCCTAAACTGAGACCCTTCACCCTGGGATGGTTCTGCTGGCAATACGTTAATTCTAATGAGCTTCATGATTCCTCTCAAGCATACAGTCTTTACTTGTATTAACAGAGTGTTCTAATACAATTACCTTTAAAAATTCAGAAAGCAGCTGGAAGAATAAAATACAAAAAGAATCTCAGCAAATAGAATTTTGTCAGAATTTTGATGAAGCTTTTAAACATGTAAGCTGGCTATATTTTGTTATACAAAGTAATTTCTTGAATCCAAAGTTATCAGCAACCTATGTATATAATCTGAAACTACTTGCAACTTAATAATATGTTTGTCTCATTTTTATACATAAAAATGGGATTTTTTTTTAATGGAAGCTTGCCTAGCAAGAGAGAAATGAAAATTTATTATTGGAAAGATATAACATACATGTTGTAACATAACATACAGGTAATGAAAAGTCACTGTATAGAATAGGCTAAAAATAACTTTTAGGTCTAATAATAGTTTAGGTCTAATAATGAGTTTGATACAATAATATTAAAATAATGAAACAGATCTATATTTACCATCCCCATAAAATATATAGCTTAATTACATGAATAAAAGTAGACTACAGAAGAGGATCCATGAAGATTTCATAAATATGTGTGTGTATATATATGAGTGTGTAACCAGTGGGTCTCTCTGGGTAATAGGGTTATAAACTATTTTTAATTTCTGTTTTTATATGTATTATCTAAACTTTCTATAAATGTCATGAATTATTTGCAATTTTAAAAATCAGCAAAAGTTTTTGGAGGGGCGGGGGGAGTTTCTTACAACATTCGGACCTTCTTTAATGTGAGTGGCCACCACTGAAATACCTAGACAATACATGTGACTTTTGGTAAATATTCTATCTATCCTTGAGTTTTCCATTTTAATTTATCTCTCTCCGATTAGCATTTGTACTTTTTAATTAATTTTTATTGGAATATAGCTGCTATTTCTTTTCCTTTCCCATTGTTGGTGTTTTCCTTTATGGATACAGAAAGGAAGGCAGAGAGGAAGGCTCTGGCCCAAACAGTTGGAGGCTCTGATCAGCTGTTTTTACCTCTGAGTGATCCCTCATTCCTTTCAATCCTGAATCCCCACAATGAAGATGCATCATCAACTCAATGGACATGAGTCTGGGCAAACTCTGGGAGATAGTGAAGGACAGGAAAGCCTGGCTTGCTACAGTCCCTGGGGTTGAAAACAGCCAGACACAACTAAGCGACTGAACAACAGCAATTACGAGCATCAAAACAGTAGGCGTTCTTGCCCTTGACCTCCACTTAGCAACCCTTGGGTCACTTAGAACCTGTGTTCTCAGCCTTTATAGAGCATCAGCATCACCTGAAGAGCTTCTCAAAAGAATCTGCTGGGCTCCAGCTCAGGGCTTCTGACCCTATAAATCTGGGGCCAGGCCTGAAAACGTGTATTTGTAGAGGTTTCCAGGTGAGGCAGCTGCTTCTGCTCTGGAAACCCACTTTGAGAACCTCTGCTGAAGCCTGGACTTGCCTGGTGGCTCAGACGGTAAAGAGCCTGCCTGCAATGCAGGAGCATGTGTTCTGTCTCTTAAATCACCCTGGTTGATGAAGACATGGTGAGCGCTTAAAAGTAGTAGGTTTGGTATCACCACCCGCCGAAGTCTTCATTTACCAGGGTGGGTTATGTTTGTTCCCAAGTCAGTCTTGTTGTAATTACATAACTTAAATAAATATCATAGGGACTTCCCTGGTGGTGCAGTGGTTAAGACTTTGCCTTCCAATGCACGGGGTACGGGTTCAATTCCTAGTCGAGAAGCTAAGATCACATGTGCCTTGAGGCCAAAAAGCCAAAACATAAGACAAAAGCAATATTGTAACAGACTCAATAAAGACTTTAAAAATGGTACACATCAAGAAAGCTTTAAAAAAAAATAAGCACCATGGAATTCAGTGAAATATGAACATGAAAACAACTTTTTTCCCATGTAAAGTTAATAGAATACTTTATGTCTGTTATCAAATGAAGTGTTGAAAAGCTTAGGTGGTAAGGAAGACTCATGAAATCCAAAGGGAAAGAAACCAAAACTGGAATTTCTAGACAGACCACTGATTATGTTTATGTTAGAAAGACAGTGGGTAGTTCTAGTCATCGGACTATTATTTAAAGAAGTGATTTTTGTCCTGCATCCAAAAAATTGGCAGTAAATACCCATCTGTATATTTCAAGTTAAAATAAATGTTTACAGTCTCTACATTTTTATGATTTAACATTTTAATTAAAATCTTCATTTGTTCAAATAACTCCCAGCTCCAAATATGAGATATGAGGTCTCCCTAGGAATGTTGGTTATTATTTGAGCATAGATCCCATAAACATGTTGGCCAGCCCAATAATAGTTTAAATTATATGTTACAGAGGATATATTTTATTCCTTTAAATTTTATCCTTAATATCACTAATATTGTTTTATAATTTTTCTTTCATTGTTTTAAGTGTACTTGTATCCTCAGTACTCAAGTATTGAATACTTCTTACTTTGTGCAATTCTTTTTTTATTATTATTACTATTTTATTTGCCTGCTCTGGGTCTTATTGTGGTGCCCTGGCTCAGTAATTATGGCAGAGCACAGAGAATTCTACTCAATATTTTATAATAACATGTAAGGGAAAAGAATCACACATGAATCACTTTGTTACATATCTGAAATTAACATGACACTGTAAATCAACTATATTCAAAAAAAAAAAAACCACACACACACAAATAGTAATGCTCCCCCAGATAGATCCACACTAGAAATCCTGGAACCATATGGTACTTACCTATGCCACATGTCTTCCAGACACTAAATGATGAGCTGCATGTTTAAACCTCCTGGTGTCTAAGGTACATACCATGGTGCAAGACTACAATTAAGACTCAGTATTATCTGCTGCCTTAACATTGGTAAAAATCGGGAAGACTTACAATGGTCTGACCACTGGCTTCCCTCCCCCTCTGCTCCCATAGATTAGGTCTCCCACCCAAGCAGCCCTCGTTATCAAGGGACCAGATGCAGTGCCTGCTTTCACCCCAGAATCATTCAATCAGGCCAACCACGTCCCCCGTGTGGACTCGGGGACACCCCATCCTCTTGATTCTACACAACCTGCCTCCCACAGCCCTGGTTGTTCACACTGTTCCCAAGTGACCCTAGCCCATGTGGCCCTGCACTGTGGGGATGACCTCATCCCCTGTGCTTGGAGAACATGTGAATAATAAACCCTGTCCATACCTGTGGCTAATTCATGTCAACATATGGCAAAAACCACTGCAATATTGTAAAGTCATTATCCTCCAGTTAAGTTAATTAATTAAAAAAATAAAATAAACCCTGTCCATCTCACTTGTCCAGTGAGTGGGTACAGTTGTGTGTCTGCCATTCCCATATAACCAGAGGGAGGGAATTCCTCACTCACCAAGAAGGTGAATACGAGGCCATCAAGTAACACCAGTAAGAAGCACACGAGCAGCATAAATGGAGCGCTATTCAGTGGGGTGGGAAGGAAGAAGGGAGAAGACAGCACCACTGCAGGACTTGGCCCAGCCTGGCCTGACTTCATTGATGACACCTTCACCAAAAGAGATGACACCTTCACCTGAGTCCCTATTTCTCCATTCACCTCCAAATGTATCTCCAACTTATTTTATTTCTCTTCTCGGCAGGCTAAAGGAGGACTTTCTGGGAGTGTGGGTTGAGTCAGCTTCTCTGTATCATGAACATAGAGAAATGTTGGGAAAGCTGCAATTCTCTCACCTAAAAGATGCTTCTGTTAAGCACAACACAACCGTGAAATATGCTACTGTACCTCTTCCGCTGCTGTCTCTCCCTCTTCTTCCTTAAGTCCACAAACAGAAATTAAATAAAAACATAAATTCATGTAAGTTTTAAGTTGAATCTAAAAATTAAGCAAACTATGTAGCCAATATTTGGTAATAACTGTAAATGGAAAGCAACTTTTAAAATGGTATAAAAATTTAAAACTATAAAAATTTTTAATTAAAAAAATAAATAGAAATTAAGCAAGCTATAATAAATACATGTTTACCAAAATGAAGAATATCAATTTATTGAGAAAACATCAATAGCAAAGATATGATAACTGAGCTATGCCTACTTATTTCATGCATTTTATTTCAAGTCCTTGGAATATTATAAAATTAAAGACATATTTTCATCACTCTTACTCCTAAGAAAATACAACTAATTAGTAATACTGCTTAATTATATGTTTAATACTGTTCTATATCCAAGCATATTGCAGACCTATAGAGCTATCAAGGAAAATTCAGACTATGTATGTAAGCAACTAGAAAATTTGAACAAAATTATGTCTTTGCTTTTACAGCCTTATAAGTATGCCTTACTTCAGTTCTGAAGCAGTTAATAAAAGTAGATCAAAAACTTTTCCTCCATCAGAACAAATAACATTTCTAAACCATTTAAACATTGAGTCCTGGTTAAAGAAAGAAACTTAAAGATAAGAAATGATAAAGCCATTTCCAGGCTCAAATAGGTCTCCACTCTGCCAACACATTGAAGTTTCTATTTCCCTGGGATCAAAGTAGGAAAACCAAGCAATACCTCCTAAAATTGCAAAGAGATAAGAACCTTCACATCCTTTCCCAGAATGGTCCTCTGATGAGCCTTTCTGGGGCCAGAGTATTACAACGGCTTTAATTGGGCAGGCAGATCTGGTTCTAAAGATCAGTCCCTAAACATTCCTAATGCCTTTCAAAGCAGGCAGTGAGCTCATGGAATTCTGGACCAAAGGAGTTGAAAGCAACCTCATAATTACCTATATCCTCTTACTCAGTCTTTCCTTTGGACAAATGAGGACACAAAGACCACAGACTTAAGTAATTAGACAAAAATCAGAAGCCAAGTAACACAATCAGGGCTTACTCTGAGACTCTTTGTTGTTGTTGTTGTTGTTCAGTCGCTAAGCGTGTCCAACTCTTTGTGGCCCCACGGACTGCAGCACACCAGGCTTCCCTGTGCTTCACTGTCTCCCAGAGTTTGCTCAAACTCATGTTCCTTGAGTCAATGATGCCTTCCAACCATCTCATCCTTTGTCGCCCCCTTCTCCTGGTTCCTAACTTAGTGTTCTTCCTACTCCACCACGCTACCTCTCAAGATTGTCATGGAAGGAAAGTCATGGAGGGCCTGCCATATGGCCACCTTCTCTGGCCCAGCCTCAAGTTCTTGGCCAGCTCCAGAACAATACTGTTAGATTTCTGATGCTGGCAAAGAAAATACAGAAGTCCTGATCCAGCCGGCTTAAGCTGAGTCAACTCCAGAGGTGTCCCAGTACCGGGAATCTCTAAACTAAAGCTGGCAACACAGCAAGTCTTATAACGTTCAGGGAAAGAGAGTCCTGCACTTGTTGCAGAATCCGAGTGTTGGTTTTTCAGCGATGTGTTGAATATTAAATGTCTTTGATATTGTCTACCTCTGCCCATGCCTTGCCCTTCCTTCACCATGACTGCCATCTTCTCTCACCTAGATTACATCACCTCTAGGCTTCCTTATCTCCAAGTAACTCTCCACGCTATTGCCAGAGATATCATTCTAAAAGACATCCCAGGGACTTCCCTGGTGGTCCAATGGTTGGGAATCTGCCTGCTAGAGCAGGGGACACAGGTTCCATCCCTGGTTCAGGAAGCTCCCACATGCTTCAGGGCAACTAAACCCATGCGCCTCAACTACTGAGCCTGAGCTCTAGAGCCTGTGCTGAGCAACAAGAGGTCACTACAATTAGACAGTAGCCCCTGCTAACTAAAACTAGAGAGATCCCACACACAGCAAGAAGATCTAGTGCAGTCAAAAAATAGTTAATTAATTTAAAAAAGACAACCCACATTACCATTCTGTCTAAAACCTTCCATCTTCTCACGATACATCCATAATCTTTAGAATGGTTGAGAAGCCGTCATGATCTGCCTCCTGCTCACCTTTCTAGTCACGTCATGCTTTACTTCAGCTAATGATCACATGTAACTTTCTCACATCAGCCACACCTTCCAGTGGCTACATACAATATGGCAACCACACACTGCATACAATATTTTTAAGGAAGACTTTCCTGACCCCTAGGCGCTTCCCTGGTGCCTCAGCAGTGAAGAATACGCCTGCCAATGCAGCAGAATCAAGTTTGATCCCTAGGTGGGGAAGATCCCCTGGAGAAGGAAATGGCAGCCCATTCCAGTTTTCTTGCCTGGGAAATGCCATGGACAGAGGAGCCTGGCAGGTTACAGTTCATGGGGCGGCAGAGTCAAACCCGACTTAGCAACTAACTAACAACAAGCACTGAATTAAAGAATCCCCTTATTTGCTCCCGCAATCATCATTTATCGGTCTCCCTGACTAGTCCGTGTGCTCTTGGGGGCACAACATGTGTCCTTGTTCATTTTTGGATTTCCAGGACCCAGCTACTGTCTGGAATAAATTCAATAAATGTGTTAAGTGACTAAATAAATGAACCTGTCACTCTTTTAGATCTATTAACTCTTTAGATCTCAAAGAATATTCATTTCCTTCTTGTCCACATACAATCAAATTAGAGTTCACACTACACAATACAGAACTATTAGCTATGTAGAGTTTTACACTTTTCTAAGTCCAAGTATTTTTATTCACTGTGTACAGTTGAAACAAATGAGTTAACAGAAACACACTATTAAAAATGGGGTTATCCTTAGAGCTAGGCTGGAGGGCACTAAGAGTTCTTATAGGAATAAGTGGTCATCTCAATTTTTAGAGATTGCCCCTGCTGCTAAGTCGCATCAGTTGTGTCCGGCTCTGTGCGACCCCATAGACAGCAGCCCACCCGGCTCCACCGTCCCTGGGATTCTCCAGGCAAGAACACTGGAGTGGGCTGCCATTTCCTTCTCCAATGCATGAAAGTGAAGTCGCTCAGTCGTTTCCGACTCTTTGTGACTGCAGCCTACCAGGTTCCTCTGCCCATGGGATTTTCCAGGCAAGAGTACTGGAAAATCCAGCTAGCAGTAATTACCAAGGAACCTAGGGCTTTTATCAATATCTGAATTGACCTTGGTTTCTTGAAAGAGACATTAAATAGAAAAAGTAATTGCTCAGAGAATTTCTAGAGATACTTAGCCTCAAAAGGTCAAGTAAAGAAAAACAAACATTGTATATTAACACATATATGTGGGATGCAGACAAATGGCACAGGCGAATCTGTTTGCAAATCAGAAGTAGAGACACTGACATAGAGAACAAATGTATAGACACCAAGAGAGGAAGGAGGTGTGGGATGAACTGGGAGACTGGAATTGACATATATACACTTCTCTGTATAAAATAGGTAACTAATACAAACCTATTGTATAGTGCAGGGAACTCTACTCAATGCTTTGCAGTAACCTGAATGGGAAGGAAGTCCAGAAATGAGGGGATATATGTATACATATAGGTGATTTACTTTGCTGTAATGTAGAAACTAACACATATTGTAAAGCAACTATACTCAAATTTTTAAAAAAAGTTTTAAAGGTCATGTAAGCTTTGAAGAAACTAGGCTAAAACCATCATCAGCTCTACCAGAATAGAAGCTCATTTTCATGGCTCCATCCCCGATCCCAGGACTGCCTGGCATGAGGCAGCATTCAATCTGTCAATAAAATGTTGAATTAAGGTATTTATGTATGCCAATCCTGCCTCAAATCTTTCTTAGGAGGAGATGGGATATTAATTAAATGAAAACTTCAATGCCCATCCTACAGTTCAGTTGCTCATTCATGTCTGACTCTTTGCAACCCCAAGGACTACAGCATGCCAGGCTTCCCTATCCATCACCAACTCCCGAAGTTTGTTCAAACTCATGTCCATTATGTCAGTGATGCCATCCAACCATTTCATCCTCTGTCATCCCCTTCTCCTCTCACCTTCAATCTTTTCCAGCATCAGGGTCTTTTCCAATGAGTCTTTGCATCAGGTGGCCAAAGGATTGCAGTTTCAGCTTCAGCATCAGTCCTTTCAATGAGAATTCAGGACTGATCTCCTTTAGGATGGACTGGTTTGATCTCCTTGCAGTCCAAGGGACTCTCAAGAGTCTTCTCCAACACCACAATTCAAAAGCATCAATTCTCTGATGCTCAGCTTTCTTTATGATCCAACTCTCACATCCATACATGGCTACTGGAAAAACCATAGCTTTGACTAGATGGACCTTTGTTGGAAGAGTAATGTCTCTGTTTTTTAATATGCTGTCTAGGTTGGTCATAGCTTTTTTTCCAAGGAGCAAGCATCTTTTCATTTCACGGCTGTAATCACCATCTGCAGTGATTTTGGAGCCCAAGAAAATAGTCTGTCACTGTTTCCATTGTTTCCCCATCTATTTTCCTTGAAGTGATGGGACTGGATACCATGATATTGGTTTTTTTGAATGTTGAGTTTTAAACCAGGTTTTTCACTCTCCTCTTTCACTTTCATCAACAGGCTCTTCAGTTCCTCTTCGCTTTCTGCCATAAGGATGGTGTTATCTGCATATCTGAGATGACATTGGTATTTCTCCCAGCTATCTTGATTCCAGCTTGTGCTTCATCCAGCCCAGCATTTCACATGATGTACTCTGTATATAAGTTAAACAAGCAGGGTGACAGTATATAGCCTTGACGTACTCCTTTTCCTATTTGGAACCAGTCTGTTGTTCCATGTCCAGTTCTAACTGTTGCTTCTTGACCTGTATACAGATTTCTCAGGAGGCAGGTCAGGTGGTCTGGTATTCTCATCTCTTTAAGAAGTTTCCACAGTTTATTGTGATCCACAGAGTTGAAGGCTTTGGTCTAGTCAATAAAGCAGAAGTTGATGTTTTTA